TTTGTAGATTATGGTATATTGGCTGATATACCGTAATGGCTAAGCTAATAAAAAGTCTTGAATTGCATTATCCAATGATCCAGTTTTTAATAATTTTGATTAGCTCATTTTAGGACAAATAATTAAGATTATTCTTGTTGTCATTGCATAACATGTAATATTAACATCATTTTATTTATGTTGACGTCCACTCTCACAACAAAGTGTTCCTAAATTATTTTTTTAGTGCTATGGCCGTAAAAGATGTTCGTATGAAAGGTACAGGAATGGCAGATACACCACTACTTATTACAGGTAGGTAATGTATATTTTTTTCACATTAATTGCAAATTTTAAGAGAACTGAAGACAGAGTAATGTTGTGATATACTTTCATGGATTCTTTCCTTTTTAAATTGTTCATTTTAAATCAATGAAAATACGAGTCGGTCTGCATATGGATCTTGTCGCGTATTTTCACATTGCTGAAAGCAACTTGATGTTATTTTTGTCAGTTAAAGAATTCTAACAATACTTCTTCTCTTCTTTAAGATAAGTAATACTGACTAAATTGGGGAGAAATAGGTAAATTACAGACATGTACGTAATTCTGGAACAAAACGTACCGGCATTAAAGATGATCTTCCGCTGTTTTCTGCAAATTAAGTCTTTTTAATTTTTTCTGTAGGTGTGCAAGCAGTGAGTATTGTTGTGCGACTCAAAGTTGTTGTACATATGTTTACGCAAAATGGTACATCTGGTAAGTACAAATCAAAATTAATCTGAACCTGCCTCATTGCATAATTTCTTTGACAATAATGATATAAGGAATGAACTTGACAACACTCTCCAGGTCTACTTGAAGTTAAAGTTCACACTTCCATTAAAATTAGATGTTATGCGTATTTCCTTTTATTAATATATGTTTTCAATTCAAAGGACGGTCATAGTGATCACTTTTGTGATTGCTTTCATGCTGTGGTGGTACTACCGTTATCGCTATCGTCGTGCACATCAAGTAGTTGTAGCCCAGGTTCCACACACTCAAGCTATGCAATATACCACAGTCACTGGGAATGTGATAAGGGTCCCTGCTGGCTACACTGTGTATACTCCGCCAGGTCAAGCCACAGTCATATCGGGTGGTGCAAATTTCCAGCATCCTGCATACCCACCACAAGTTTATGCTCATCAGGATCCACCGCCTCCATATACTAGCACTACTGTAGTAAAGCAAGGAGCTTTTGTAAGCACTTCTACATAATAAAATTGATGGTGAAAAAGATTCATAACCTTTCCAATTTCCCAATTGTCAAACTGTGCATAGCTTCAAGTTAGTCTTTCAGCACTCCAAGCTGCAATATGTTTTAGTCGCAGTGGTGAGTAAAAAAAAATTTAGCAGTTAAATTCGTTGCAAAGGTTGCCAATTTGGCAACTTGTGTTAGGTGGTCTTGTAGTAAGTTGTGATATTTTTCCTACTTAATTTTTATGTTGTTTTTTGAGAGAAGTTAGTAAGAGTGTTATTTTGGTGGGAAAACTGTTGTGGCCCTGTTGATGGTCACCATTTCACTCACACTTTTACATATGAAGTTTTTATGGTAATTTTTTAACAAGATTTTTCTGGCTACTACTATGTTACTCAGGAAACCATTTTAAAGATGTAAGCTTACCAAATGTAGACCTTAGAAAAAGATGAGCCTAGAGCCCAGGAAATTGACTTTTAAAACGTTTGAGGATAATTTTAATATTTATAGTGACCCATTTAGAAGGTATGAAATATTTTATAGATATTTTATAGATGTTTTAGATGTACTAATGAAAATTAATATGAAGTGATGTCAAACATCCTGGATTTTTTTCATCATTTTTTGTGTTCCATGCATATACCTATTAATATTTTTAACATTCTGTGGTGCATTTTGTTGCTTTAAATTTACTAAAAATGATCAAATATAT